GATTACAGACCAGTCAGCCCCACCTCAGTCCCTAGAAAAATCATGGAGCAGATCCTCAAGGAATCCATTTCTAAACACTTGGAGGAGAAAAAGGCAATTAGGAACTGTCAGCGTGGATTCACCCAGGACAAGTCATGCCTGACCACTGTGATTTCCTTCTGTGATGAGGTGGATGCAGGCTTTGTGGATGCAGAGAGACCAGGGGATGTGGTGTACCTTGATTTTGGCAAGGCTTTTGATATAATTTTCCACAGCATTCTTGCAGGCAAGTTAAGGAAGTACAGGCTGGATGAATGGACTGTAAGGTGAATAGTAAACTGATTGGAGTATTGGGTTCAGAGAGTAGTAATCAATGGCTCAATGTCTAGTTGGCAGCTGGTATTGAGTGGCGTGCCCCAGAGGTCAGTCCTGGGGCCAGTTTTGTCCAATGTCTTCATCAATGACCTGAAGAATGGCATAGAGTGAATCCTCAGCCAGTTTCCAGATGACACCAAGGTGGGGGAAGTAGTAGATATACTGGAGGGTAGAGCTAGGATTCAGAGTGACTTAGACAAATTGGAGGATTGGGCCAAAAGAAATTTCATCAGGTTCAACAAGGGCAAGAGCAAAGTCCTGCACTTAGGACGGCGCAATCCCAGGCACTGGTACAGGCTGGGGGCTGACTGGCTGGGCAGCAGCTCTGCAGAAAAGGACCTGAGGGTGGCAGTGGACAATAAGCTGAATATGAGCCAGCAAAATGCCCTTGTTGCCAAGAAGGCTATCGGCATATGGGGCTGCATTGGTAGGTGTGTTGCCAGTAGATCAAGGGAAGTGATTATTCCCCTCTATTCTGCACTGTCGAGGCCACATCTGGAGCAGTGTGTTCAGTTTTGGGCCCCCCACTACAGAAAGGATGTGGACAAATTGTAGAGTCCAGCGGAGGGCAACAAAATTGGTGAGGGGTCTGGGGCACATGACATGAGGAGGTGCTGAGGAAACTGGGTTTATTTAGTTTAGAGAAGAGAAGACTGAAGGGGAATTTAATAGCAGCCTTCGACTACCTGCAGGGGAGTTCGAAAGAGGATGGAGCTGAACTGTTCTCAGTGCTGGCAAATGAGAGAACAAGGAGCAACGGTCTCAAGCTGCAGCAAGGGAAGTTTAGGTTAGATATTTGGTAGAATGTTTTCCACAAGGAGGTTAGTAAAACACTGGAACAGGTTACCCAGAGAGCTGGCAGAAGCTCCATCTTTGGATTTTTTCAAAATCCTCCTAGACAAAGCTTTGGCTGGAATGATCTAGTTGGGGCTGGTTCTGCTTTGAACAGGGGGTTGGACTAGATCAGTGGCTCTCAAACTTTTTTGCACTGGGACACATTACCATAATTATCAGCTTGTGGTGGCCCACACCCTCCCTATCCCCGACCCACAGAGCGCATCTCTCTGTCCCCCAAGCCCTTTCCCACAAGCTTCTGCATCTGGCCCCCTCCCAAACTCTCCTGCTGCTTTATGCAGCCCTGCTGCGTGCTCACCATGCCCCCCACAGCTCCATGCAGCCTGGCAGTGTTTCCCTCAGACCTCCCTGCGACCCTTTAAAATCTTCTCGTGAACCAATTTTGGGTCATGACTCATGACCCACAGGCTGAGAAACGCTGGACTAGATAACCTCCTTCCAACGCTAACTTTCTATGATTCTGTGTGTAACTTCTGTCCCTAGCCTAAGCGACCAAATTTGAAAAATATTGTCCCTCTTCTTCCTTAATAACTGTTCTTGGCGTCTGCCTGACTTCAGGCTAACACAGGTAACCATCTCTCCGTGCCGAGGTCACAATCCACTCACCTGCTGTACAGGTTGGTGTTTTCCACAGCTTTGTTCCACATTAAACCCTAAGCACCATGGTAGAGTGCACCCTAGAACCATGCTCATCCTTTATCTCAAAGGCGAGAAACACTGACTACCACAAATTATGTGAAGGACTGGTTAACCTTTTCTAGTATTGACATCAGTTCCTTTGGGACCAGAATGGAACCTGTCATAGGTTACAGCTTTTCTTCAGCACAGTAGATCTCACACAGTCTGGCAAAGGTTCTTCTTTGGCAATTAACTCCATGTTTTATTCATCCCAGAATTCTTTAAAGCTGCAAATCAAAATGCCACTCTGTGCATTGCTAACCACATTATGAAGTGCCAGTATTGCAAATAAAGGTGCTTTTTGCATACCAATCAGATTGCCTTTTTTTAATAGAAAATGAATTTAGCTCCGTATTTATCTCACTAATTGCATTCATAGCATTACCGACAAAGTATCGCCCACCTCAGATTTACATTATGCAAAAACCTAATCTCTGCAAGTTACTAAACCAAAAGTGAGCCATACGCTGCCTCCTGAGACCAAAAATACATTGTTTGAACTGCCAATCTATACAAATTAGATTTATCAGGGAAAAAAGCTTAGATACCATAAACTATCAGAGAATAATCACTTCAGAGCATGTGTGCGCTGTAAATTCACTACTTAGGAGAAAAAAGGGACAGCTGACCAAGCACATGTTGCTGAATTTATGTCCCCACAATAATTATAAAAATGGAGAGACAATGGTCTTTTTCCAGTTGGGTTAAAATCAAGAAATAATGTAATATTCAAGAGAAAGTGAACATTCTTCCACCTAGCCCTCTCACATGGCCCCAGGGCTCCATTAAGTTTATGGGTAAGGTTTGAGGATTTTCATTGTCCCATTGCAAGCCTGAAAAACAAAAATCCATTAAGATGTATGTAAAGTGCATCTCAAATGACAGGCAAACTGTATGTTGCAGAGAGAGTTATAGCTCAAGGGCCAGAGCCTGCAGTCCTTATTCAGGCAAAATTCCCATTGACGTCAAAGGGTGTTTTGCTTAAGGCTCTTCTGAGTAAAGATGGGAGCCTGAAGTGCTGAAGTTTAGAAGGAGACTATAATGTACATTATTGTAGCTCAGCACTACCAAGGGTTTTAAGTACTGCTTTGTGCTATAATTAATGCTTCACCTTCTACTCTTTCAGCTCTATCTCTGTGTATAGCACTAAAAAGCATTGTGTGCTTCTACAATAGAGCAGAATGAAAGAGTGCATTAAAAGCAGTGTTTTCATACTATGCATTTATTTTCATATTTAATTCTTTGTAAAGTTTCCTGCTTACTGAAATGACTTACAGGGCTGGAGCATAATTATTCCCCAGACTTGATTTCAAATTGTCAGCTCTTAGATTTTTAAGATGGAACAGGGACAGATAGTATGGGGAATTCAAACATCCTTTATTTGCATCTATCTCCAACGTCTTCTGGTGAACTTTGCATCATCATGTACAATGTCTTCTGGTGAACATTGCCTCTCCATTCTTTGACTACAAGGGAGAATTACACAACTGATAGAAGTAGAGGCATAAGAGGATATGCTGGAGAAGGTGACAGCGCTGCGTCATTTGTGTATATGTAGCAGGGCAGGGGTTAAGACCAGAATTTCAAAACTCTGTTTAATTGGTGCCAAACGCTGTATGTGCACAGTGAGATTTTTGTCTGCATAGGTCCATGGGCAACACAAATTCTGATTTGCGAGCACAAAAGTATTAACTTTCTGTTGTTAGAACTCTTGTAAGGAATGAATTTATTTATGAAGGGAGGTACCTTTCCATGACACTTATTTACATGGTAACCAAGAACTTCCACCAGTATTACTGATTTTTGTCTTATTACACCTCAGAGGTAGGGTATTATATTCATTACCATTTTTATAAGAACAGAAGTGAGGCACAAAGATATTACTTGATTTGTCAAATGTCATGTAAGAAATCTGACAAATCCAGGAATAGATAATAATCTCCTGCGTCCTTGGCCATTGCCTAAACCTCAATGGCATTCTTGGGAAAGCAGAATAGTAAATTTATGAATATTCCTTGGCAGCCTGATTTTGAAATGCGTAAAGTCATACCAGAAAATTCAGGTATGATTTTAGCTAATGAAGCTGAAGGGAGTGGTACCAAATTTCCTGAAGGCTGAGTTGAGCCCAAAACATTCGGCATGGTTTATATTCTACGCTATTGTCTAGAACGTGTTGGGGTAGAGGAGAGCCAGATTCTGTGAAGGTTTGTTTCATAATAAGCCTGTCCTTTGAGTGGATTTTATTGATTCTCTCACACTGATGGATTAAATGAAACTATATTCTCTGTTCATGGGATAATCAGAGATAAAGCTCATTGGACTGGAATCTTTAGCAATTCTCTCGCTGCTACACAAGAAGTGGTTCAGGTCCTACAAACTGAAATGAGCACCTTGAGTCACCTGAAGCAAAATAAACAGGAAAGACCATTATCTAATAAATGTATCATTCAGCCCATCTGTTTTAGAATCAGGAAAAATGTGACAAATATTGGACAGTTTACCTCTGATTAATTAATGCAAATATTGTATCCATGTTCTGTCCTGTTTCCACAGCTTCAGCTTCCTTATTTTAAGTAGGATTTCAGATCTATAATATGCTTCTGTGTTGGCAATGAAGCAGAAGAAGTGAAGGAAAAGGACATGGTGCCTGTTCCAAATCAACTTTGCAATGTCTACTGCGGCCTCTTATTTACAGCCAATTTTACGCAACTCATTAGTTATGCTGCACTGAGTCTAAAATGTCATCTCAGTAAAAAGGAAATGCTTTGTGATCTTTGATGGAAATTTCTCTGTGCCACAGAATATTTTCTCCACTATGCAACACTTATGAAGGACTCACGAATGACAGAAATAGTCACATTTGCAGGAGGGAGTTCCGATCACTTGGGCATCAGTATTGTCTACAAATATCAGAAGGGTTGCTTCTGGTTGCTGTGTTTAATAAATATATCAAAACAATGCAGATAATCTAAAGGATGAACTTATCTTTCAAACTTTACATCTCCTTTTCGTTTGTGTAGTTCTGTGCCGAGGCATTTATACGTAGCTGAACATGGTGATATCTCAGAGTTAATACCTGTTCTAGCTTTCATTTCTATTTCTGTATTTTTTAGATGTCAACTTGGAATGAGATGAAGCATTTCCTGTTGTGGCCCAATATGTCCGTTGGATCACAACCTTCATACAAAAGAAGATTACTCCTACTATTACAGATTACTCATGTAATCTTCTCTGTTTTATCCGAGTGATTCTGCCCTTGAGATCTTGGCAAGCTACCAACCCAGACCTCAGTTGGGCAAAGCTTGGGTGCCCATGCATCAGATTCCATGTTGATTGGTAGTGGTAAAAACATACACAGGGTGAAATGTCCTTTTTCATGATTCTGCTTACTGTTTAAATAGTGCAAAATGTATGAGAGGTCAGGAGGAAAGCTATGCCAGCTATGTCAGGAGGAAAGGCTCTAAATATAGAAGGGGAAGTTAATGCTCTATCATTTGAAGGCAAGCAGCAGCTGGCAAAGTACTGGAATTTTCTCAAGAATGGCACATTAATTTGACATTATTAGAAACCGGCTCTGGATGAAACTAAATGGATCATAAAAGGATTAATAAAAGAATGTCCTAAAGATTAAGAGCTTTCCATTTTCTTTTTGGCAATAATATATTTGAGTTTTATACAATGGAAAAGATTTAATGATCTTTTCACATACACTTTACTTACACTGCTATACAATTCTTTTTGTTATGGCCCTTATAGAGGTGCTAGGAGGCTTGGTAGTATAAGATCACTGTACGCACATTAAGAAAAAAAATTTTTGATCACTTGACAGAGGCAGGTGTAAGAAGGAGCTAGTTTAAACTTTTTATTGTCCAATCATTTTGATCCTTCCAGTAAGAACTGGATGAACTTTTCATAGTGAACAATTCATCTTCATTTTTCCTCTCTACAATTGTTGGAAATAAACATGGATTATACAATCGTTTTATGGGATCATGGGGGAAACTTTCAGTGTAAAGTGGGGAAAACATATCTGAATATATTTATGAATACTCTTGAAAATAGCATGCACTACTACACTACACCTGTGTCCCTAAGTATTTTTATGTGCATGTATTGAGGTAAGATAGGTTTTACCTGCAAGAATATTTAAAAAACAAAAGTGAGTATATGAATATTTGATAACAAAAGCTATTATGTGAATGTTTTTGAGTCCAGTCTGGAAAGATTATTATTCATTTATAAGAGTTTATTAACAGTTCTGAGTGTTTTTAAGTTATTGTCAAACAGAAATGCTATATATGAAGCTTAGGGGTGTTGGTTGTAGCTGTGTAGGTCTAACTCTAAGGACATAGGCAGACAAGGTTCTTTGGGTAGATGTGATATATTTTATTAGACCAACTAAATAGTTGAAAAATTGTTCTTTGCAAGCTTTGCAGCACAGACATCCTTCTTCAGGCATAGAGAGAGTCTGCTGATGAACTGTGTTACAACTGTGAATTGTTACAATTCACCAGCAGACTCTCTCTATGCCTGAGGAAGGGTGTTAGTGCCTGAAAGTTTGCAAAGAACAAATATATGAAGCTTAGGTCATCCAATCAGGACAATGTTGTTTGACTGAGCTGACCAAGTGCAAATTGTGCGTAAAATAGCAAATAGTCATAGGCGACAATTTGTTCAGGCAAATTATCAAATAAACACTTTATGTTCTCAGAAGCTGAAAAGGAGCTACCTTTAACCAAGAACATTTTTCACTAGGAAGAACTCATTCAGTTGTAATTCTGCAATGGACTGCTTGGGAATTGTGTTCATAGAGATATATGCTACTCACTATTTGGTTGTTTCACTTGTCACCTTACTGATTTAAGTCACACAGCATGTGACCAAGGTCTGTAATTATAATGAATTCATGCAAGATTAAGCAAGCCAAATGCTATATAATGTGTGAGCACAGCCAAGAGTAAAAGTCATGGTACTATGAAATACAAACTACATCCAGTTGCCCTGGAAGATACATGTTCAAACACATGGCCTCCCACTGACAGCACTTGATCTTTCTCTGTGGGACCCATTGAGGATGTGGGTTCATTGTGGGTTCTGCTAGATTACTTGCAATCTGCAGTTTCTCTAACACCATTGATACCAATATTACTTCAGTATGATGGATGCAAAATTAAATTTATTCTCTTTATTATGTGAAACACTGTTTGAAGCTGTTCTACACCTCAGTTTCTTATGGATTACAAACCAACACAGTTGTGGAAGCAAACTCTGTCTTTCATTTTGAGTTTTTCATATCATTATATGAAAATTATATCAGCATGGTGCTAAGTCAATGTAAGCTGTATATACTTGTTGGAGTTCATCATCTTGTTCATGAGTTTATGAAAAGGTCAGTAGAACTCATTGCCAAAGTTTACCAAATTTCCAAAGAAACTCTAAAGTCTAAGGGTCTGATCCAAACAAAGCCCATTAATGTAATTGAAAAGACTTCAGTGGGTTTTGAATCAGGACCTACATGAGTAAGAATAGCCCGTGTTATAATAAATACTAGGATAAAAATTATGCAGACCAGTTCAGGGCATAAACTAATCACCAGCTAAAGGGGGAAATCATTCCTTTTTAGTAAGCACCTGGTCAATTTGACTTGTTTGTGGAATATGGTGATTTCTAAAAAACAACCATTTTACAGTAGTATGTACTGTATGTAGTCCACTACTCCACTTTTCTTCTCCTATTGACAGTCTGCTAGCCAGTTATCCCTTTGTTTGTTAACTGTATTCCAAATGTACCTAGCTAATTATCCTGGTCCAGCATCTTGTGAGACGTGATTCGAACTTTCACTCAGACTCTCGAATGAAAGGGAAGTGGAGACATATGTGCTTAGGGACAATTAAACCAAGTAAGGTGAAAAAGCACAGCTGCAATAGGAAACATAAGGAGTGAGCTGAATATTATTTAAGTACTGATGGTCCATAGATACTTGCAAAGACTGCAGTTATTTAAGTTTCTCAGACTACCAGGCATTTCATTTTCTATAGACAGGACTATATCAAAGGAGGCTGTCCCTCAAGAGGCCCATGTTCCCATGTGTTACTCCTTTCACATTCAAGCAGCAAACACTTTTTTTCTCTTTTAGAACAGAGTTATTTTCATTTTAGGATGACCAACCCAGCTATCTTGACAATTCTAACATACTTGTATCACTCAGCTCTAAATTCATATGTGTATGTAATTAGCATGAGATATACAGTGACCCTGGAAAAAAAAAAGGTCAATTATCTTCCTCTCCTTCAGAAACACTTTGTGCCTATGAATAAGCTGTATGCAATGCTACCTTGTCCTGAGAGTATACCTGTGAACTGCATCACTAGCAAAAAGACAGGTTTTCAATAAACTGGATGCTAAAAACCTACATGCCAGCTTGTCTACTTAGATTCTGAAATGCAGGAAATGCTCTGTATTGGAGTCTGCTGTCAGTGCTAGTGAGACTTAAACACCGCCTTAAACACTGCTAGAGTGTAGATAAAAGACACAGCTTCAGTGCACCTTCATATTAATCATCCAGATGTTCATTTTGAAGAAGATGCCAAAAGGGCCTGCTCTGTGCATGGATTTCATTTGCTGAGTGAGTGAAATGGAAAGATGATTTAACATTGCAGCCAGATCCCCCTTTTAACCAAGAGTTTATTCATAGAGTCCTAGATAATAGTGTTGATGCCTACAGTGTTATCAAAGCAGGGAGTTTCTAGTTTTCTTAAAGCATTTCCACGTAGTAGGGGTTCCCCCCTTTACAATGTGGTTCTCCTCCCTCTCTGTGTCTCATGTGAGTACAGATGTAAACAAAAGCATGCAACGATCAGAGATGGGCCAGCATTCCCTTATACGTACATGAAATGCCACACACTATCAATAAACGGCAGGTAATAAATCAAGGTTTAATGATGATTAGATTTCTCAGGTCTGCATAGTGACTTTTGCCCCTTATATTTTCCATTGGAAGTGAGGGACATGGAAGAAGACAAGAATACTGGATTCCAGATCTGACATGTGGATTGAGAGGAAAGTGTTGCCTAAAAAGTTTATCACTTTCTATCCAGAGAGGTAAACCTGATCTGATACAACTGCGTTGTACAAAATTATGACTTAGAGCAACCCACATTTACAATATGATAAGCTGAGTGGGAGTAAATAATTGGGGCTAAACCGGTATTAAAATGAACAACTGAACAATTTCTGACAAGTCAAAATCAATCTTCTTAAGCTACTTTTGTGTTGGACATGACCACAACTGTGACACTGAAATGGCTAAAGAATCAATAAGACATAAATCACCCTGGGCAACCAGTGGCTACAATGCCCTAGGAGACCTGACTTCAGGTTCTATCATCCATCCAAACAGGCTCATTCTGGGGAAATTTTGCCAATACATTTGGCAGGAAAGGAGAGCAATGCAGACCCTCCGAGTCCTGCAAGACATCCAGTAAGGCTACATCCATACCACCAATAAGGTTCTAGACTAGTGCAGGTTGGGAAAAGAGAACTGAATTGTGCCCCTTCCCATGCCAAACCAATTGATCCCACAGACAGCCCAGTTACAACCTCATCAGGGAAAAGTAACACAGCCAAAACCTGAACATGGACAAAGAGAGACAGGCTCCCAGTGTTATTCCCAGATGCAGTAAAAGGTACTAGTAGGAAAAAAACCCCCCCAACCCTCTGAGGAAAATGTACAAGGCAGGAAATCCCTTAACCCCCGGGATATGAGAGAGACTCTTTCTGGAAGTTGACTGTTCGCTTGATCCAGCAGCCTATCTCCCCACTCTAAGAAAAAGATCGTCTAGTACTGCTAGCTAACGTTACTCCTGTTACTTAAGTTTCATCATTGGATGGAAGGGTTGTTACAACTGCATGCAGAAGAACCAGTTTTTAAAAATTCTAAAAAAAATCCTAAAGTAATTAACCACACACTCAAAACGACATGAAGGAATGTTATTTCTATTCCAAAGTCAAGCACCAGAATATTAGTATTTGCCAGATGAGTCGTACAACTTACAACACGAGCGCTTCACCATTGTGCCTATACGTTATGATGCAAGATAACATACCATTTATTCCCCATGACCTCTGTCTCAGTCAGCGAAGCTAATAGATGCACAAGGGGTAGAATTAAGGTTTTACGGATCACCATAAATCTGTCTTCTTTACCGTTATAGTGATTTCTATGCAACCTAAACTATGGGAACGTTACTGATTGAGGCGCATACCGACTTAGAATCTTCTAGACATCCTTAGAGTGAATACGCACAGCTCCAAAACACTCGCTATTATGAAGTGAAGGAGCCTAAGTTAGTATTAAAGAATTCACCTTAAATATCACCTCTGGAGTTGGCCTGGTAAATCCAGGGAGTCTAAAATAAATCTAAAAGATTCTAAGAAATCTACATTGATCTAATTGACTCAGTAAAGAGGCCAGAAAAGAAGAAAGTAAACTACATTCGTTTAGACTTCCTCCACACTTGCTTGAGACCAGCCCTGAAGGTCTGTTTCCAAGAAGCACAGCCAGTGCCTGACAGAAGCCCTAACGAGAGGCAGAGCCAGTCCAGGCCCAGCAGTAACCAGGAAGCCAGAGAACGGGGGCAGCAAACAGGGCAAGCCGTTTGTAGTCAGGTCAAAGGTCAGTTTGCATCCCCCTACTTTGATGGGAAAGCGTTTCAGCTTGGTGCGAGGCAGCAGGGAAAAGGGAACCCTCTGGGGTCTAGGAACACTAACGAGGCCAGCTTTCAGATGAATTCACTAGGGAAGGTGTGCTTGGAAGAAGGGCAATAAGGAAGAAGAGGCAGATTAAGAGACCCAGAGAAATGGCTGGCGAATGACGCAATGCCAGACCTGCTGCCACTGCCTCCGCTTGCACCTGTGAGGTTTCTGTCCAGGTAGGACTGCTCCCGTTGAGGCTGCCACCCAGGTCCAGGTTTGACACTGTGGGGACTGCGGCTTGCAGGTTCCTTCTGGTGATGGCCAGGTCGGGGGGTGTCTGCGATGTGAGTGGTGCCTCCTGG